CCGACGACCTACCGGTGTACTGACACTCTTTCCAGTCTTGTGATTCCTGTGATGGTTCTTATAATGAATCAAAAAGATTCAAATCCTTTTTGGTTTGAATCAACATAATGAATCATTCACCGAACGAACTAAGAACTCACTGAATCTGTCAGAGCGAATTACTGAACATCGTTTGTTATTGTGAAATCCCTATATGAGCGTCAAATGACGTCTGTGAAAATTTTTTTGGAAAGCATTACAGAAATATTTATGCTAAAAAAAAAAAAAAAATCAATGATTTTGCAAAACTGAATGCAAGAATTGCAAGTTGTAGTTTTACATTGAAATGTGTAATTTTGTCACCAAAATGTAAGTGCAAAAATAATTGCATTGGTTAAATCATTGTAGTGTCGGGCTGGTCATGATGCTCAAACCCACCAGATCAATGTTTCACAGAGACACAGGATTTAACTCACAAAGTCTCTCATTATTAATCTGAGATATGAGAACGTGTTTGTTTTAGCATTGATAAAATTACACACTTCGGCACTGAGGAGGTCCAAAACCTTAGGAAACCTACTCACGACCTGTCAAACACCTCTGCATGTATGCCGTATCAGCTGTGCTTTGATACACGCAAACACATTCACGCTGCTGCCCATGCAGGTCACAGTGAAGCTCAAGACTGCTGCATGTGTGCTCTGGAGATCATGTAGTGCTTTCATATTGCAATGTTGTGGTGATGATTACATGTGCACAAGTGTTTACACTGTATGTGTGCATTTAGATCTATTTATCAGTGTTTCTCATTGCAGCCAACATGCATCACTCTCTGCACTGTACTTACTGTAACATCACCATCAGATCAGCTCAGGCAGATCCACGATGAAGAAGGTACTTCAGAAATTAATAAGTCACCCTCATGATTGTCTAAACCTGTACGACTTATTAATCAAGTTTGAATATGAGACTTAAATTTCAGTAACGCACAATGGCTTCAGGAGCCTTAAAAATAGCACATAAGGCACATGTTTTACTTGTAGAGTACTTTTTGTTCCATTTGCATTTATAGGAATGAGCAGCATGAACATTCCTCTAAATATCTTCTTTGGTGTTCCACAGAAGACAGTCAGTCGTATGGGTTTGGAACAATATGAGGGTGAGTGTTGGATGACTGAATCTTTATTTTGAGCTGAACTAACGCTTTCGTCACTGCTGCTTTTACCTGCTCGTATGTATTACCCCCCCTTAAAAGGCGCATTCATAATTATAAGCACACTATTTAATGTAGAGCACTTCAGAAACAAACTGCAGTCTAGTTCAGGAATGTTTAGCTCATTTCCAGTCGCACTGAAAAACGATCATTCAGATCTCACAATAATTCATCAGTGAAATCAAAGCCACAAATGCACCAAACAATCCATCGTAGCCACGGCAACATGCCATGCAGCCCACCTCATGGCCACTGAAAAAGAAACAATGTTGCTAGAGCAACCCAAACACAGGCAGTCGCCAACGGCAACCAAACAGCCCAATCAACTTACTACAACTTCAGCGGTAGTGGATTATCTGTTGCTAGGTAACCATAGCCACGGGGTCTCCGTCATTTATGATTGGCCGTTTGGAGCTTGTCATGTGGTTTGTGATTTTCATCGAGAAAATACAAAGAGCAGCATCAAAAACAAAGAACTGGATCATATCGTTTTAGTATTACGCTTATGGATTTAAAGGTGGAGTGTGTAATTTCTGACAGTGCCACGCTAGACAAATCTAAATCAAGTTTTTAATCATATTTCATAGTATTGTTTTATTTTTACCTGATTTTTTCCAAGTTGTATTGGAGTGCATTTTACAAGAAAATACCGTTTCAGTCTATCGACTTTGACGTTTAATTCATTGTGTTACTTGCTATTTCTTTGTAACTTACTAGCAATTTCTTAATGAGAACTGCATCATTTTTTCAGTCCTCTGGATCCATTTGTTGTGCATGCACTGCCTCCATTGCCTCCTATTATAAGTGCGTTTAGCATCCTTATTCAGACAGATCCCTGCAGAACTTTCTCTTTTGTCTCTCATCTTCTCAGTTTCTTCATTCTTCCTACCTTTTGCATTATAAATCTCTCTCTTTCCTAATGTTTTGTCCTCTCTTACCTGTCTGGGTCTCAGTAGGGTCTGTTGGCATCTTTCGGCCTTTTCAGCTGCACTTTGAGTCTCTTCATGCCGATCTGAAATCCGTTCATGGCCTGGATGGCTGTCTGAGCACTCGCTGGGTTATCAAAGCTCACAAAGCCTGAGAGACAGAAAAGACAACGAGTCTATATATATATATATATATAACTATAAAAAGTGTCTCAATGATACCAAAATAACACCAGTGCATTGCTATGTGATAGTTGGGACTCGAGGGAGGTTTCTAGGTAGTTGCTCCCTACCTAGGAAGTATTTTCAGGAACACATACGGTGCTCGTTCTTACCGAAGCACTTGCTTTGATTGGTGGCCCGATCCACAAAGACTTTTGCAGAAATGACGTTACCGAACGTCAGAAACATCTGGAGCATTTCTGAGTCAGTGAACTCCTGAGGCAAATGGTAAATGAAGATGTTACACCCCTCAGGACCTGCGGCACACACACACACACACACACACACACACACA